ATTTCTTTCATCTACCGGAGAAAAAAAAAAAAATGGATTAAGATATAATTATTTTCAGAAATGTGCACTGACCTCCGAATACAACAAGTCCAAGCAACTCGATAGTTGAAGAGTGTGGCTGAAATTGGAGACTCTAGACTCTATGAGCTGTAAAAGATGTTAAAATTTTCATTATTACATTAGTGGGTGAGAAACTGACAAGAACTGCATTCAATATAAATATACATACGTTGTTTTTATCGTCAGCTTCATCTTGCAATAATCTGATAAAATATGACAACATCCTTAAAATCGACAATTTCGTTACACTTTGGAAGTTCCATTCATCTTGTAGGCTATTTAAATAAATTTATTTTAAACAACAGTTTTATCATGTTAATTTATTGGCAACACACTGTATTTCGAATGTTGTTGTCAACTTGTCATTATATTTCATCATGTTAATGATATGTATCCCGTGTTATGAGATATATTTCATATTTACTGATCAAATTATGCTTTAAAGTCGTTGAACCTGATATATAGAGTTTAAGGCCGCCAAAGAAGCTTCTTGACACATTATGCTGCCCGCATGCTGAAGAAGTAAACTCCTTAGCCATGGAATAGCACAGGCCAATACAGCACCCCTGCAAATTATGCAAACAATTAAGTTAAAATATTAATTCAGACTGTCAATGAAAATTCACGAGAAAACATCAATTATAAAGTAAATTAAGTTAATTATCAGTTATTCTGTCAAGTCCGGAACAGTGATTTTGGTTTCTGACACCTGCCACCCCTATCCTTCCAGGACATGTGCTCCCAAAAAAGAAAATAATATGAAAATAAATATGTGTATATAGTAGTTAATGTGAGTATGTGACTGGAGTTGGACTCGATCCTAATTCTTTCATTTAATGAGTGTTTATTCAATTTTCATTGATGCAAAAATCCTTAGAACTTCCTGAACAGATAAAGTTTTTGCGACTTGCAGAACATCGAGCCATTTCTGTGCATGCTCAAGAAGAAGTTATTATTCAAATCTGATACAGGTTTTTGCATAAGCTAGACCTATTTTTGCAGTAACAGGGGAAGAAACAAGGCGAGATACTCTCCGAACATTTTTCTGGCAGATTTATCAAGAATTTGATTTTCACAATTTGACAGAAAACTAAAAATAATCCAACTCAGTGTCAATGTTAGATCCGGAACGAATAATAGAAATTCTTTTAGCTTCCTTACCTCAAATGGACTATTGGTACAAGAGACTGCAATAACTGGCCAACGTCTGAAGGGTTCAATAGTGACAGCGAATTTGCAATTACCTTGCAATATATAATGACACGTAAGATTATTCTACAGAAAACAGGCCGCTCATGAGGCGAACTAGTTTATATCGTGTTAATACACGAGATGAAACAATCTTTCAAAATCAATGCAACTAATAAAACCTTCTCATCTTGTCTGAATAAGCAATCTATGAGGAGTGCTCGATCATCAGCTCTGAGCGCCTGCTTGAGCAAGACATAAATCGAGTCTGCACTAGGTGGCTTTGCATCAGGAGAAACTCCTGCATTACCATTGTCCAGAGCTTCTTTGTTTTCTTCCAGGTTGAGGCTCGCAAGTTTTTCACCCATGGTTGGTTCACTCAAGTCAACCATCACGTCTCCATCTTTATTTTCGAGAGCTTAAAGAGACAAGAAAGCCATAATACTTTTTCAAATTTACAAAATTGAGAAAAAAAAAATGCAGTCTTTTTGCTCAGTACACAAAATCCCAAAACTGCACAAGGTCTATGGAATAAAGATAACTAAAATTTTGTCGGCCCAGATAATTTCGTCATCCGAAATTTGTGTGTATTGAACCTCAAGCAACGGTTTCAAATTGAAATATAGCATGAACTGTGTATACAATCAACATTGAATTGTTCATTCAGAAGCTATGGACTAAAAGTGTAACTGGTAATAACACATGAACATAAGAAACCAATTTAAAATCCGATAGGTACAAGCACAATTACAATATGCATTAGGCAAACAGAACACAATATCCTCCTAGAACACATAAACATAAGAACCCAATTCAAAACCCCACAAAATTCAAAATTTACATAGAAGCCTTTCGACCTCATTTCTACAACTATCTCTTTTCCTTAGACAGGCTAATTATATTACCAGCTAAAAGCCACAGTCCTAGCAGAGCTTAAACAACCTGGAATTTTTCAAAAATTTAAAAGAAACAAAGACCATCTTTGAGCTTACTTTTGTGAGACAAAACTTCAGTAGCTTCTGACTCGTGTTCTCTGATTTTCCTTTTCGAGGACTTAACCTTCTTCCCCATGATATCTGCTCACAGCCCAGCAATCAAATTACTGAAAAGAATTGCAGAAACCAAAATTTGTATCCAGCCAACAAAAAGGAGAAAGAAGAACCTTTTTCCGGTGCCGGATTTGTCGATGGCGGCGGAGGGTTGGTTCCAGGCGGCGGTGTTCTCGCAAACGGCGTCGTTAAGCCCTTACAAAACCCTACTTGTAATAATTAAGAAGTGAGCCAACACAGGTCAAATAACCAGGCTAAGCAAAGCAGCGCAGTCTTGAGATTTTTTTTATGTTTTTCTCTCTTTTTTAATTTTATCTTATACTTTTTCTTGGATTAAAATAAAATAAATATTTATTTCCCATTATTATTTTTCAAGAAATTAATTGGAATTTTTTTCATTGCTATTTTAAACTTTCATAAATTAATGGCAAGTACCTCCTTTTTCCTTTATTCGTCCAATTAACGCCCATAATCAAACGAATCTATAATACAAATAAGTAAGATAAAAATATTTATTTATTTACTTTGTTATTGTGTATTCTATTATTTTAAAAATATGCAAAATTTATTTTACTTGATTTTAAATCTCCAAGATGAAAAATACACTATTTCAATATTTTTATGGGTTAACAACATGGTTCTGAGTAAGTGAGCCTGTAAACGAGTCGAACCGAGCTTGAGCCTTTAACGAGTCTGAAATTGAGCTCGAGTTTGGTCATGTATCACTAATAAAGAGCTCAAGCTTGGTTCGTTTATCACTAATAACAAGCCGAGTTCGAGCCTTAACGGGCCGATCTCGAGTTTTAACGAGTCGAACTATAAAAAATTATATAAAAATTATCATTTGCTGCCTTATCGAGCCGAGTTGAGCTCGACATGTTAACCAAACGAGCTTTAAATGAGTTCGAGATAGGCTCGTTTATCAAACGAGCCGAGTTGAGCCAGACTCGTTTAATTGAACAACATTAGTCGAGTCGACAATCAGACTCAAGCCGCTGCAAACAAGTCGAGTCGAGTCGAGTTGAGTAATGCTCATTGATTGAGCACAATTTGTTTTGTTGGGCCTCGAGATCACGATCACCAAGTCAAGCTCGTTATGTCTCAATTTGACTCGATAATATTATATTAATGCTCGAAATTGGCTTGGGGTTGGCTTAAACTTTATGGGTTGAGATCTACTTGAATTTAAGGAGAATTCTACTCGATTTGGGGCCGAAATTAATCTCGAGTCAGATGTATTTAAATAACTACACATATTTTTTAACAGCTCGTTGAACAATCTGTCTTACAAGTTACGACCTTGACTCGTTTGCAGTCCATTTATTATCGATAAACACCCATTTTGGTTATAAAAGTGAAAATTCCTCATCATTCCCCTTTGGCAAAATTCGGACCCATTTACAACGGTTACTCACTCCATAACCCGGCAACACATTCAAAACTTCCCTAAAAAGCACCACTCCACAAGAAGGAAAGTAAAAGTTGCCTCCCGTTAACTTTAAACCATAACCTTTCCCAATTTATTATAACAAATTTTCAACACAACCTAAAACATTTCAAACATTTATTCCTCATCANTAAGAAATGGGATCTTGCATTAGCAAATGCAAGCCCAAGAAAAAATCCATTGAAGTTCTTAGCCCCATCCATGACAAGCTCATCATCTCACAACAACAAGTCCCCCCGAAAATGACGACGATGCCCTTCGAAAACCCGAATCCCCTCCCTTCACATTCTTGCTCGACCGACGCCAGCAAGTTCACTGCCACATCATCGTCCATGTCATCGTCATCTGCTTCGTCATCCTACTGCTCGTCGTCAGCACTCATCGCTAAAGACCGCTCCTTTTCCAACGAGCTTCTATGGTCGTGTGTGAAGGAAAATCGCCACATAATCGACCTCAAGAAAAATATCTCGGCCGACAAAAGGGACCAAAGACCAACTTTGATGAAAACGAAGCAGCCGAGTCAAGAAAAGGCAGCGGCGAGCCGTGTCCCGACGCCTAAAAAGCGGGCCCGCGCGAACTCGCCAACTCTTGTCCGACAGAAGAGCTTCCGGAAAGAGCAGAGTTTGAGTTCGGTGCCAAACAGGGCCTTGAGGTCGCCATCACCGAGTAGGAGATTTAGTAAGGGCGAAAATGGTGGATATATATCGGCAAATGGGGTTTACGAAAATGGTTCGCACAGGCGCCAGGCTGGCACGAGGAGGGAAAGCTTTCGGGCTTCGGCTGCAAGCAGGCTAAACCGTGAGTTAGCAGTTGAGCCGAATTTTTGGCTGGCGAAAAAGGGTACGTTGGTTTCTCGAAACATTGATGATTTGGAGATGGATGCTGTGATGGAGGATATTAACAATCCACATATTGCATTGGATTGTTTCATTTTTCTGTGAAGTTTTTTTTTTTTTTTTTTATGTNTTCAGGTGTGGTGTGATGAGTTTGTTTATAGATTTTATATTTTATTTTTTGTTAATTCGTTTTGTTGTTGGGTGTTTTATTTTTCTTATTTAGTTTATGTTGTTCAAGAGTTGTGCACTCTTTTGAAGATGTGTTTGAAAATTGTAGCAATAGAGAGGAAAATAGAAAAAGAAGAGATTGATTGTCTGTGTCAGTTGTCAAGATTAGTAATTATAAGTTTGATTTGGAGATTAGTGTGTGAATATTAATTAATTTCTGAGTTACAATATTACATTACATTGGCAAGTATTTGAGTATGAGGATGAATATTTTCAAAGAGTGTGTATAATGAGTCGGCTCGCCTAACTGTTAGACGACTGAGATTCACACAAGAAATAGTGTAGTGTGGCGCGTTTAGTCCATATACATAAAAAGAAACTCCTCGAGTCCAGAGCAGAGCCCATTTTTTGTATTAGATAGATAAATTAGGGAAAGGGAATAGTAATTGATATATATTGTGATTAGAATTAATGAGAATCTGATGAGGTGAGAGACAATACAATGAAAGTATGTATGTGTTACACAAGTAACACATATATATTATTATTTATAATTATTGATAGCAATTAAAACACCATCAAGGACTTGTACCAAAAC